GTTGTAATGTAGACGTGGGTAAAGACCGAACTCAAGTGTGGGTTGTAATGTAGACGTGTGTAGAGACAGAACTCAAGTGTGGGTTGTAATGTAGACGTGGGTAGAGACAGAACTCAAGTGTGGGTTGTAATGTAGACGTGTGTAGAGACAACACTCAGGTATGGGTTGTAATGTAGACGTGTGTAGAGACAGAACTCAAGTGTGGGTTGTAATGTAGACGTGTGTAAAGACAGAACTCAGGTGTGGGTTGTAATGTAGACGTGGGTAGAGACAGAACTCAGGTATGGATTGTAATGTAGACGTATGTAGAGACAGAACTCAGATGTGGATTGTACAACTTCATTAAATGTATGAACCGACATATACCACAGAATCAGTCAATATCAACACAAGCTTTGTTTAAAATCAGGACAGTCCGCTTCTTCCTAGTGTCTGCATATTTAGGGAATTAATGAAAAAACACAAGTTTGTTCTCTGTAGTCTACTCTGGTGTCGAGCAGTGCACCACGTTTACAGGGGCAGACTCGTTTTGATTTCAGTATTGCCAGAGAACATTCAAGGACTGGTATGTATCTATCATTATCCCCCTCCACACACACCTTCTCCAGGACCCCTGCTCTATTCAGCCGATTCGAGATCCGGGCGAATTGTAAATACTACTGAGACACACCAAGGAATTTGGCTGGGGGTTCTAAGATAGGTTTCTTGACAGTTGATAATGCCCTTAAAAAAAAACAAAAAACTTTTAATGCTGTTCTCTGACGATTTGTATATGTCACGTTTTAATTTTCAAATTATTGAAAGCACAGAAATAAAGTATTTAGAAGATAAGTATTTTGTTGTTGTTCTACCAAGATTATTATAAATATTTAACTGCAGTTTTTTGTTTCTCACATTCTTCTTAACATGTCCATTGTGGCTCCAAATCTGAGGTAAGTAAAAAATAGCATTCAGATCTATCTTTTGTCAGACCAGGTGGTTAGGGGGCGCTTGACTCACAATCTGAGGGTCGCGGGTTCGAATCCCTGTCCCACCAAACATGCTCGCCCTTTTTGCTTTGGGGGCGTTATAAAGTGACGGTCAATCCCACTATTCGTTGGTAAAATAGTAGCCCAAGAGTTGGCGGTGGGTGGTGATGACTGGCTGCCTTCCCTCTTGTCTTACACTACTAAATTAGGGACGGCTAGCGCAGATGGCCCTCGTGTAGCTATGAGAGATAGAAGATTCTACAAAACGTTGGTTATAATGTATAATTTTTTTGTTGTACTTTGAACAGTGGTCGTTGTGTAAAATATTATACTGTAACTTTAAATGATGCTTGTTATATAAGATCTTATTGTGTTTTAAAACTTTAGACGATGGTCGTAATGTAAAGTACTTTTTATTCTACTTTTAAACGATCTTAGATGACTTCAAATTATTGATTTTAGATGACCTTTCGCAGAGTCACTCAGTTTTTACGTTCTAAAGATACAGAAAGGTGTTATTAAAAACCTACATGTTCTTGTATATTATGTAACAGAAATGATAGACAGTAACGCGATAAAAAGATTTGTTAGTAAAATATATATTAATAAGTGTTGGTGTTATTTAATAGTTTTACAAAATGCTATTTCTAAGTGAAACATCACAGAAAAAAATCGATTTAAAGTTATCGGTTGATCATTAAGTTTATTTAAAAAAATCAGTTTTAATGGTTCGTTGATATTATATATTAAAGTATATTTTACCGTTTCGTTTATGAGAGTTAGAGGGAGATGTACGTTTTCTGTTACCATAGTAATGCTTCACTGTTTGAATTCGTTCTGTTTAGCGTTACTGGTCAATAAATGTGTGTTGACAACATCTGTGGAGGCGTGGTTTCGTATACTTTAATTGTAAATAAATGTAGACACACTTGCACTAGGCCAAGCTAGTGGCTAAAGTTTAGGGCTGTGAAGCCACGATATTCCACTGAAAACGTTTCGTACTTTCACCTGACCGACTGGTTGTCTAGATTAGGGGTATCTGACCTGGCTGTTTAGTCTCCGTTGTCACGTAAGGTGCCGTAAATTACTGAATAACCTGACATGATACTTGGCGTTGAATACGAAATTATATGCAATAAATTCTAACGGCACCTAACTGACGAAACAAGTGACTGTGTCAGTTAATCTTTAGTTTTTAAATTCAGCTGTGCTATTGTTGTTTTCGTCGTGCAAAGCTACGCAATAAGCTATCTGCATCATGTTCACAGCATTGCGGGGAATCGAACCTCGAGTTTTAGTGTTGTAAGTCCGCAAACTTACCGCTGATTCACTGGGGAACGAAATGTGGGTAATGTTATATCACAAAATAGAAATACAAACACATGATTTTCAGTTTAGGCTTATGTGTGATATAGCTGAGACGGCGAAGGATTGAGAATGAATTTAATCTGGGCTAGTGAAAATAACTGATAATCAGTACTAATCTGTGAAACCAGGTTCGAGAAAGCAGTAACTCGTTTGAAGAATTTAATTTCAATCATACTTTTTGGAACAGTTAAAGAGTTTTATTAGTATAATAATTAATGGATATCGTTGATTTTTGTTTTTATTAAAATTGGCAACTGTAGAAAAACGTCTACCAAAAGAAACGTTGCAGAAAACGAATCTATTGTATATACTACTTTTGATAATAAATGCTTAATTTTTCTTGCTCTGGCAGTTTGCAGGACTGATATGGCCTGGCAGTCAAAGTGCTCGACTCGCAAACTGTGGGCCGCAGGTTTGAAATGCGTCATTGAAAATGCTCGCTCTTTCAGTCCTGGGGGCGTTATAATGTAACGGTCAATCCCACTTTTAGTTGGTAAAAGAGTAGCCCAAGATTTGGCGGTGGGTGGTGTTGACTAGCTACCTTCGCTCTAGTCTATCACTGGTAAATTAGGGACTGCTAGCGCAGATAGCCATCGAGTAGCTTTGCACGAAATTCAAAATAAACAAAGCTTTTTCATTAAATATCAACACCAAATTCGGCCAGTTTAACGTAACCCTAAA